TTCCGATATTAAATAATCAATAATTATTTATACCCGCATTTTGGCGCATTGGGTCGTTGAATGTGCCATCTAATAAATAGTGTCGTCGTTCTCCTTAGCTTATTTTAAATGATGTCACAAATTGCTGGCGGAGATATGAATACAGTGTAAGAAAATTCTTTTTCTATAATTGTTTCCTTATAGAAAGGTTGGTTTCTTTTCCACCTTAGACATTCCGAATTCGTTCAAAATATGCTAATTTAAAACACAGAATTCTTTCAGTGTTCCTCCGGGGTTTTTGGAAATGGACTGTTTCTTCAATTTAATAGTGTTCGTTTTATTTTTGTAGAAACGAATCATGTTTTGCAAGTTATGGATCATTTCTACACTCTTTCTTCAAATATTTCTCGTAATCCAGCTGTGCGCAGGCGTTTAGTTTTTCGCATCGTGTTTTTACATATTCGTAATTGAAATTTTTTTAATAAAATCAATTGGTGGTAGTTCATGATTGTGTGTGGATTAATATCACCACACCAAGGATTTGGCAATAACCTTTTTCATCTATTAAGCAATGTTTATTGTAAGAACAACATTTTTTTCTATGAATCGACATACTTTAAGCATTGTTGACGCTATTTCCAATTGAATGAGGAAATAGCGTCAATGACTTTATTTCCAAATTGTTGTTGACTTTATTTCACTTTTGAAAAGGTAATAATGTCAATTGACTTTATTTCGCACCAGGGTGGGAAATAAAGTCAATTGACCTTATTTCCGTTGATCTTGTTACCTGTCACCGATAATTGCATTGGAAAATGCATTTATGTTAATAGAGGCTTTGAAGTATTAAAAACATGTTGTGAAATAATATTAGAGTTATTATTCCGAAGAAATTAGGTAGCTAAAATTTAAGAAATAAAATATAACATCTTAACATAAATTATTTTTCATATTTGTATAAAGACGTGGGGTGAAACCCGCGGGTAAAAGCTAGTTTCTTATAAAATTTCAACTCATACATGAAAGAAAGACCATACAAGCCCAAGCAAGTTTCATACTTTGTACAAAAATTTTAAAATGTCAACAAAGTTTCATGAAAATTTTAATCTTTTTAATCGGATTTATAGAACAGTGCTTGGTGTGCCGTTTTATGGCATTTATAACAAAGTACAAGTTTGAAGTTGCTAAAAAATACCGTTGATTTTTGATATTTTCTCTTTTGCTGACTGTGTTACGCACTTTCTTGCATACAAAGTATGCTGACCAATTTTTTATATTGAAAGAAATGCACAATATCTTCAGAAAAAAACTAATCTTATTGTACCAAAATTTAATGGGCTCTACTTAGAATTTTTCGTTTTAAAGAACGTCAGCAATGTGAAGATAGTCCCCCCCCCNACCACAACTTTTTTTTACTTTTGATTTAATAACACAATGCCATTTATCCTTATGATTTGTCATCATTTTATATCAGACTTATGACAAAATACATTTTTATAAATATTTGAGATTATCCGTTATTGGATTATGCATGTGAATATTTAGCCTGTACACAATAGCCTTTTCGAGTCCGTATGAAAAGCCCAACTTGCAAAAAACACCAGGCTTTTCAGACGAAGAAACCATTCCCACGACAGCCGCTACTACGCACTATGGGCTAAATCACATTTTTTTTGTTTAAAATAATTTTTTGTGTGAATAAAGTTCAAGTTATGTCGGTTAAAGGAAAACTAAAGCGAACGTCAACACGCTTTACTTGAGGGGTTAAAATGAGGGGCGAAGTTGACCATGTTCAAAAAATTTATGACCTTTCGATTTTCTTTTTGCTGTGTCTCAGAGGCGAATCACGATATCGATAAAATTTTTGTTTTAAATAGTAGTAAATGAAATGTACATTAAGAAAAGGCTTATTAGAATACCATCAACCCCTAAATTCAGGGTTGAAATAAGGGGTGAATGGCTAAAACCCAGAAAATTCACTGAAAAACCTTATAAAGTGTTTTCATAGGTGCCGAAAACGATTCCTATAATTACTTCTGCAAGGATTGATTTATTGGGATATCATCAACCCTTCATTTGGAGGTTAAAATAACGGGTAAGTTGCTGAAAACAAGAAAATTCTAGAAATCGATGTCCTTTCGCTTTTCTTTTTGCTGTATCTCAAAGGAAAATCATGATACCGATACAATTTTTTTTTTT